AATCTGCAAAAATTAAAAATGCAATATCAATCGCTATCTACTGTCTTCCTGATTACTTTTTCTGTTTCCGCTCATTATTAATGTTTCTGTTCCTAATTTTTCCACACCGTGTAAACTCCTGTGTCTTAGTGGCTTTACAGCCTTGCACGGGTGATACCGATTAAATAATAAAAAAGAAAGATAATCAGGGTTTTATGTCGGGATTTATCACATGCTTTGCAATTTGGACAGGAATATTCCTTATTCGCATCGTTTTGGTCTTTGTAATTTACGACCTTCTTTGTGTTTTGTCGTAACTTTCTTGGAATTTCGAAGCTAACCCTTTATTCAATTAACGCGGTTAGATTATTCCCATTTCGTTTTTTCTCGTTTAGGGGAGATAACTCATAATTGTCTTATTCACATTAGTATCGCTTTTCTATTACTTTCACTTATATAACAACTGTTCAACACTACCAGACCCAAGGATTGAAATCACAATTACAAATAACGCAGCTATGTTTTAATCAATAATTTAATCTATTTGCTTAAGTTTAAAATTTAAATACATCGGACATCAAAATTTAATTTCAAATGCTGAGTGTCCCTGCATCTTAAACCATTCGATGTAAACTGGGACCAGCATTTATTGTCTTTTCTGTTTTTGCATCTAACATCGATTGTATCAATGATGCCGTTATTTTGTCTGAAGACGTTCATTTCTGAACGAAATGTGTCAGCAAACAATTTTTCTTCTTGTCCTTTATTTGCCCAAATTAATAATAATGGGGAATTCTTTTTAAGTTGATGATTTTCAGAAATAATGCACTTAATAACTGTCCAGGTTAGGACCAAGGAAGAACAACACGGACACAAGAGTAGAAATAACGAAAGTATATTACACGAAATAATAATAATACAAGATGTGAAAGGTGTTAGTATGACTGTCAGTCTGGTTTGGAGTGAACTACTATCGGCTCGGCTCGATTCGGTATCTAGCCACCCCCCACGATGGTTGCATGTGGCACAAGGCCGAGTTTAACGTCGGTTTCCCGAGCCCGTAGGCTCGGGCAAAAAATGCCCGTAGAACCCGTATAAACGAGATCGGGTTGGTCAACCTCCCCGAACGAGACTCTGCCCTTCGACGGAGCCTCGTCCGGGTTCATCTCTGCTCAGAGGCAGAGTTCGACCGTCAAGCCGAGAGACTCGGCTTGATTCAGTATCTAGCCACCCCCCCCACGAGGGTTGCATGCGACACAAGGTCATTTTTATCGTGGGTTTCCTGGCCCGTAGGCTCAGCCAAAAAATGCCCGTATGACTCGTAAAAAACGAGATCGGGTGGGTCATTTACCCCGAACGAGATTCTGCCCTTCGGCGGAACCTCGTCCGGGTTCCTTTCTGCTCAAAAAGCAGAGTTCGACCGTCAAGTCGAAGCTCGGCTTGATTCAGTATCTAGCCACCCCCCACGAGGGTTGCATGCGACACAAGGTCATTTTTATCGTGGGTTTCCTGGGCCCGTAGGCTCAGCCAAAAAATATGCCCGTATAACTCGTAAAACGAGATAGGGTGGGTCATTCACCCCGAACGAGATTCTGCCCTTCGGCGGAACCTCGTCCGGGTTCCTTTCTGCTCAAAAGCAGAGTTCGACCGTCAAGCCGAAAAGATCGGCAGTTGATTCGTCCCTCTCTTGAGAGGTATAATATACATAGTGTTAGGAAGAGTTCATTCTGTAGTTATAGGTAAGGACCCATGACAATAATAATAGCATAAATATTCACCTTACCAAAGTTGCAGCGGCGAGGACCAGCAATAACACCGAAAACAAGTAAACGATACAAAATGAGATTTTGACTCAGTAAAAGTTGAAAGCAAAGGAAATCGTTGCCCAGGTTAGCAGAAAACGCGTCAGGGATTGCATGCAATCATCCATCTGGAAACCCTTATTTTTGTGGTCCAGTTGCGGGTCAACGTTCTTAGCACAAATTAATTGCTTTGCTTATTAATTGATAAGCCGTGTTTAATTTGTATTATCTATTTCACATTCGTTTAAAATAACCGGATAAGTCATCCAAATTCCAGATGCATTCCTTTTCAAAAGGCAGGAAACAAACAGGAACGGGGTAAATGAAAAGGCAACGCGCAATCGCCTTCCAATATTTGGCTTTTCTAAGTTGGAAGCAGAAAATATTTCTTAAAGACGACAGACCACAACGTCCTATCTATGGCGACCTGTCTTAAATTATTTAGTCTTTCACACAAATACACGCACATACACACAGACACAGACACAAAACATACACACACACAAACACCCACACACATATATATATATTTCTATATATATTATATATGCACGGTACTTATTGGAAAGTGAAAGTGAAAGTGCTCAATATCAGCGACAGAGCTAACATATTTAGTTGTATAGATATGAGTTTGTGACCCTGGATTTCAAGCTTTTGCGGTCATCTGACAAACAAAGCATGAAACTCAGGGTCACTAACGGACTATCCATCCAACTAAAATATATATATATATATATATATATATATATATATATATATATGTGTGTGTGTGTGTGTGTGTGTGTGATATGATATGATATCCAGTTCACATTCATCTTCAGTCTTTTGAACGGGAGTAAAGGTTAATCCCGTGTTTGCTTTTTAGGATTGGGTTTCCATTTCCTTCTTTTCATTCTCTTTCCTCCCAGTATCTCCTTGCATCTTAGTCGCATTGTCCACTTGGGTGAGTTGATATATATATATATATATATATATATATATATATATATATATATGTGTGTGTGTGTGTGTGTGTGTGTGTGTATTGAGCGCTTAGACTTGGAGCGGGTAGAATGGAGATCAACGTGTTTTAGTGGACTCAGCAGTTTTTGAATCTGCTTGTCTGAATCATCTTCAAGAAGCGAGAGCAATATCTAAAATGTCAGCCAATCTAACAGTGATCTCATCTCACAATCCTCACTCTTGCTCCATATGTGACCTCCTTTGTAAATGACTAGCAGGTCTTAAGTGCCACTTAAGATTATCACACAAAATTTCATAACTGAATCAATTAAGCTGTCAGATCCTCATACGTCGAAACCGACGGGAGAGAGTATATATATATATATATATATATATATATATATACATATCCCTTTTTATTATTTGACACAGGTGTCGCAAGAATCAAAATTTGCTAAAAAACCTAACACCTTTTTTTCACTGGAAACTATGCTCACATTGTGAATGAAATATTCTATTTTTAAAACTTCATTTACGATGAATTATTAAATTCAATTAAGATTGACCATCTAAGAAATTTTAAAATCCTTTTGTTAGATTTTCGACAAACCTCTTTTTGAAAATTTCCTTTGTTGTAACCATTAACCTGCACCTTCAAGTGCGAGAAAAAACGAACGTGTATATTTGTGGAGCAGTCCGTGTCTTTTGGCAAGCGGCGCGTCAAAGAGTTTGAAGATAAGAAGTCGTGGAGAGGGGTTCGATGCCGAACTGATAAGACCAAGAAGCGGCCAGGCCAAGCCCTCACCCCAAAATAAGTTTGAAGGTTATTACCCACCAAAGGTTACAAAATGTTTACATTTGAAGAAGATGCTGCATTTGTGTAAACACCCACACATTAAATGCCTCCCCACAAGAACATGTGTATTCTTTGTTAAATGCTGCAATTTCTTTGGGATCTTCTAAATTTACATACAGTCTATAATAATAAAGCGCAGTGTACGTGTGTCCGTCCGTTCGTTTTTCAATCTCGGGATTTACGCATGCGCGTTGAATAAACACAGCAGCGTTCACTTCTCGCATTCATTCAAATGTTAACCACGAGAAGAATAGCAGTATTAATATTCATCAATTATTTACAGTATGATTATTCTTTACTAGCATCAAGTCCGCACGAAGACTTTTTCAAACTAATCTTCTATCTATATTAATAAAGCGCAGTGTATGTGTGTCCGTCCGTCTGTTTTTTTTTAAATTGGCGAATCATAAATAACCTGAAATAACAGGTAGTAAATATAATTGTTACACGCAAACATTAAATAAATTTAAAGTTAAATTTAAATATTGAACAGAGTGAAACGTTTAAAAAAACAATTCTTTATTAAAGGTTTGACTTTAATTTCACTTTTCGTGCGTAATCGCAATTGATATCATCTAATTAACCCGTAATTAAAACTTAAGCAGTGCACGATACATTACTTATATATATATATATATATATATATATATATATATGTATGTATGTATGTATGTATGTATATATGTATATTTCTTTTTCAAGCACGTGTACTGTGATTTATTGGAAATATTACATGGTTCGGGTTTACTAATGTCTTTTAAGAGAGACTTTATGTGATCATCATTCTTGATGATTTTAACAAAAATTGCGTGCAAAATGAATTTAAACAAACTACGGTGATCGGCTGCGTATACGAAGAAAGATTATGCCGAATTAAGATGTCGAATAAAGATAAAATGATTTAATTATTTCTAAATTTTTCTAATACATAGGACACTGAAGGCAAAAAGTCAAAAGCCTAAAAGCCCTCCGCAGGTCTAAAGTCTACCCGAAGGGCGGCTTGTAGGCTAGATATTAGAATAAATTTAAACATTTGTTTATTTTATTTACGTTTTCATACTAAAAGAAACACACACACACACACACACACACACACACACACACACACACACACACACACACACATATATATATATATATATATATATATATATATATATATACATGTTCGTCCTCTGCATGTGGACATGACCATGAGTTCGAATCACTGGGGGTGGGGTAGATGCGGAATGACTAATGAGTCCGATGAATAATGAGCCCGATGCCCTGAAAAGTCTGTTGCAGTTGTGCTATGGGATGCTGGTGGATGAACCGGGCTGGGAGGCTGAGCCCTCTCGATTTTTCTTTTTCTGATGCCTCTGTTCTTTGTCTTTGATTTTTTTCTCTTCAAAATCAGACACTCTCGATTTTACAAGGAAGCGCTAGACGACACAGTCATCAGCAGACTCTTCCCAGGTGCAATAGGCAATGCCACAACGCTTGAGAGACTCTTTCAGCGTGTCTTTGTAAAGTTTCTTTCTTTCTAACGAGTGTGCGCTTGCCAGTGGATAGCTCGCCATAGAGCAATCTCTTTTGGTGGGGGGGGGACGATCGTCGTCCATGTGGCGGCCCAGACCATATGATCGAGTTGTGACTATGATTGCCAGTGCGTCTACACCTGTCGCTTGGCTACGCGTCCACCGCCGCAGGACCTGAGAAGAAGGGGACGTGATCTGAACGAAGTCATAACTTGCGCATGAATTTAGATTTAAGTGAGGGAGAGTTGCACAAGATCGTCATCCTCACTCTATCGTCTCTGTCCATCTGGGTCTGGTGGCACGAGTCGGCCGGAGATGGGCCAAGGATGCAGTGGGTGGTCAACAGTGTTGTCTCTGTTTCACTATTCCCTAATCGCTCTCTGCGATCCGTTGCTGGGACTACCTTCTTGTTCGTTGAACCAAAAGAGTGGTTTCGTCTGCCAGATCTAGTCTTCTGTTTGCTAGATGGCCGTCGATGGCCCAAATGGGCCTACGCCCTTTGATGTATTTTTTGTTTATTTTCATCAGGGTGTCTAGCCACCCACCTCATCAGCCCCAGAGGAACAATGGTAGAAGTGCCCGTTTAATCGCCGGCAACTCGACCCTGGAGCATGTAGAACTGGATTGAGGCCTGACCTGACCATACGTAAGATTTAAGATTTTCGCACAAAAGATACATTAAACATTTGTATTTAGCTATTTCAAAAGTAAACAGTTAAATATTAAAAGCTACAAAGGACAGAAAATTGTGTAATAACTGAATCAGTTGGTTAAGCTGTCAGATCCTCATACGCCGAAACCGACGGGAGAGTCCATTATATATATATATATATATATATATATATATATATATATATATATTGTGTGTATTTAGGCCGCATTTTTTCATTCATACATGTTTCATTAAATAATATAGTGTTGTCGATTTATTTTATGTAAATTCTTTTCATAACGTCTGATAAGCTTAATAACATTATCATTAAACGAAGAAAGAAAATCACAATATTGATCCATATTTTTTAATCCAATCTAAGCTTTCGTACAATATATTAAGCAATACACGGACAAGAATGTGATGACAGTCTGTTTCTGTTTACATGGATGATTTCCAAGCAGCGATAAACACGTGCATATAAGACGCTGGAAGCGAAAATTGCACCGCAGCTCATGACGTCACAGATGGCCACGCGAGAGTGAATTCGAGAAGTATTAAATATGGGAAGCCGTTGGTATAAACCAATGGCTTCTGTTACCAATTATAGACATTTAATGATATTTGTGGAGATTTCATTCACACTCACACACATATATATATATATATATATATATATATATATATATATATATGAATGAGTCTTTTTTAACTAGATAGGTATAGTATATGATTCATTGTGGACGCTGCTAAAATGCACTCTCCACTCACTATTACACCGGAGATTCAGAGAAGTTATGGGCATCAGCGGCTCAACTTGAAATATGACTTCCAGAAGCAGATACACGCCTCACGTAATGTCAGTGATTACCCCTCGATATGAAAACAGGTGGTCGACCCAGCTGCACCTGGGATGTGCACATGTGGGACAAAATGGATGACACGAAGACACAGAGGAAAAGAAATGACAGTTCCTTACATCCTCGCGAAAATGTATAATCCACGGCCGGAGAAATCTGTCAAAGCCACACACCCCTTCGCCGATATTAATTGAGGAAGTCTTCGGTTGAATAGAATAAAATTTTTCGTGTGACAGATTTAGTCTCGTGTTATTATTAACCTGCATACAATAAAATTAAATTCCGTTTTGCAGAAGTCAGTTATTTTAGTATTTATTTTAGAATATCTCGGGACAATTTTCTTTCTTTGGTCCATTGATCAACTAGTTTCGAGGAAGAATGTAAAAGACACACGTCAATTCGCATTGGTTATTATTTTGTTTCATTTGAATGCGGAATGAAGAAAAAAAAATCTGATCCGGAAGCGTTTTTGTCATTTTCCTGCCCGGCCGAAAACCCAAATGAAAAAAAGAAAAAAGAAACGGAATAATAATTTATTTTATTTTAATCCCTTCATATGAGTTCCATCAAACTCACTTATTCAGAAAGTGGTTTTAAGAGGGCGGAAAGTGCAACACTGAAATCCGAAACTCATTGGGATAGAGAAAGATGCCTTTAAAAGCTAAGCAAAGTATTAAGAAATAGAACAATTTCGTTAGAAGCACACAAAAAAAGACATATGGCTCAGCGGGTAAAAGGACACATGGCGCAGCGGATAAAAAGGACAAATGACCCAGTGCATAAAGCGTTGGTTGAAGTAATCCAGTAACTTGACCCAAAGAGTTGTAAGTTCAATACCTGACCACAGCAGAGGTGTACAATTGAGCTAAAGAGAAATAACTGAACAGGAGATATTCAGAAGAGGCATGGCATGTGGAACTAAAACAATCTAACTCAGTGGACGAAATAAAGGGTTCGTTTCGAAATTTCAATTATCTGAAGAATACCGGAGCTTACAACGGCCGAAACGTTGTGAATATGACAGCAAAGATTAGATCAACAGTTCGAACAATGTAAATAGTATAAATAATTACAATAACACATTTCGGATATATAGACAGGCAAAGAAAATAGTACTGAACTGTGACGTAATATCAATCTTTATCTATAAAAGGCAGGATGTGTGTGTGTGTGTGTGTGTGTGTTTAACGAATGCACGGCCGCAATTTTCGACGGATTTGCACCAAAATTTACATGCACATGCTCCAAGTTAGCGGAAAGGCCAAGAACGACTTTGCATTTCCCAACTCCCATCGATAGTGGAAATAATCGATTTTTCATGCTTCTACGGCATTTTTCATGTAGTTTGCGGCCATTTTGTACTGGCCAGAGTGAGAGCCAATAGCTGGCTGCCACGAATAGACAGGAAGATTCTATTGGCCAGCGTGAGAGCCAACAGCTGACTGACACGAATGTTAACTAGTATGCTAGCATGCAAAAAAACGATAGCTGCATTCGTCACAAGTGGGAAAAATTTAAATCTGCATGGCACTTTACTCCAATTGGCTCATTCGCTTGCTTAAACTCAACGTTGATTCTGATTCCGCAGAACTGGGTTGGGTGTGAAAAAGTATTTGTTGTTAACATTCTTTTTTCATTCGTTTTTCCAGTTACGAGTCCTTTTTTAAAGCTGATTGTTTTGTGTTCATTTTGTTTAGTTCTTTTTTCGTAACAGATTTAATGTCTAGTATAGAGCATAGAAAAAATTCGCAGTGTGAGATAGGCAAGAAGTAAGGCATGTAGCAACATCAGCACGGAAAAGGGCACTCCTTTAAATGCAAGGAAGGGCAAAATATTTTAAGTCAAGTTATAGCGATTGCTGTATGAGTCGTACGATTTTTGAATCAAGTACGGGCAACGCCGGGCCATGCTGCTAGCCCTCCTATATGAAGGATCTGTAATGTAACCGATCCTTATCAAGCATCTCGACTTCAGTCTCCTTCTCGTCAACTTGACGTGGCTTCTCTCTGTCTTTTTCTACAAATATTTTCATGGCAACTGCTTTGACGAGGCTTTTTCTCTGACTACATGAATTTAAGCAAGCTGTTAGATTGGGAACTAGGACTCACTCGTTTACTGTTGAAATAACTAAATAAAACCACTACTTCTACTCAAGTAGTTTATTTTCTCGCACTTCCCGCCAGTGGAACTCCTTTTCGTTTTGCTTGCTTCCCAGATAACTACATTCTTCAAATATTTAAATCAAACGTCAGTCACTATCGTCTGTCTTCTTGAATTCCGTTTAATTTTTTTGGTCATTTCCTCAATCCCTCACAGAATCAGTTTTCTGTTTCCCTTTCATGTACTGTAAACCACCTGAGTGCTATTGGCATTCCCGCTTCACTTCCGGTGAAATGACAGTGAACAATCTCATCATAGATGAAGAAGAGACTTCGAGCGACAAAAATTTTGTTCTACAGAAGAATGATGAGAATACTATGGGCGAACTCTTAGAGAAAACAGAAACAAAAAGGACACTTATACTTAACATCAGTTAAAATTTCAAGGTTACATAATGAGGAAAGTGGGCTTGGAAATGAGATACTCACAGGATAGACAGAGGAAAACAATGCATAGCCTACCTAGCGAGCTTGAGTAAATGTATGATGGAAAAATTATTAGGAGATAACAGGAAGAAAAAATATTAAAAGCTACAAAGGACAGAAAATTGTGTAACGCCATGATCGCCAACGTGCTGAAGAGACACGGCACAATGAAAAAGAACTAATTCAAATGTCTTGTCTCCATTACTGACACACCCTTTGAACACGCTATCCATAACGTTTACATTTATTAAATGATGTTATTGAATGTATTGCAATCTCTTTCTCAGTCCAATCGTTACGAGTTAATGAAAGCAGGGATTCATAAAGTTGTTTTTCAGTACCACCTAATGGAGGTTAGTGTGTGTTTATTAACCATCCAACACCTACCGGAAGTTAGTTAGTGTTTATTATCCATCCAACACCTACTGGATGTGAGTGTTTATTAACTATCCAACACCCACTGGAGGTTAGTGAGTGTTTATTAACCATCCAACATCTACTGGGGGTTAGTGAGTGTTTATTAACCATCCAACACCTAATAGAGGTTAGTGAATGTTTATTAACCATCCAACACCCACTGGAGGTTAGTGAGTGTTTATTAACCATCCAACTCGTACTGGAGGTTAGTGAGTGTTTATTAAACATCCAACTCGTACTGGAGGTTAGTGAGTGTTTATTAACCATCCAACTCGTACTGGAGGTTAGTGAGTGTTTATTAACCATCCAACTCGTACTGGAGGTTAGTGAGTGTTTATTAACCATCCAACACCCACTGGAGGTTAATGAGTGTTTATTAACCATCCAACTCGTACTGGAGTTTAGTGAGTGTTTATTAACCAACCAACATCTACTGGGGGTTAGTAAGTGTTTATTAACCATCCAACACCTAATGGAGGTTAGTGAGTGTTTATTAACCATCCAACACCCACTGGAGGTTAGTAAGTGTTTATTAACCACCCAACACTTACGCACAACAAAAATAAAGAGAATGAATTGAACTGGCAAGGAAGAAAGTGAACATATTTTATGACCGTGAAATATACAGACTTTATTCTTAGTAAAGATTACATTTCCTCTGAATGTTTTATCCTTGACAATGGACTTCTTAGTAAAGCTTATTCTAGTCTCTTCAGATTTCTAAACTACCTGCACGTTAATCAAAATCATTATTTCATTTTCCCTAACAAGATACATAGATATTACTCTAGCCTAACACGTCTGCCTGAATAAAGACAAAAGGGCTTACCTCCAACAGTACCCCATCAACACTGCATTCAGCACGTTTAAACTTCTCTTCCCGAACCAATTCGTAGATAACTGAACACTGATCTTCTCGACACATTTTAGTGACTCACCCGCTTTTTGTTAATAATATTTCAAATGGAATAAAATTGGATCCTCTTAATATTGTAAATTCATTTTTGTCTGTCTCCTGAAAATTAGACAAGATGATTTGGATTTATACTTTTGTAAATATACACCGTGTATCAGTTTTTCACTAGCTGGAAAAATCAGCCCACGGCATATTTCGATTCTTCTCTGCATGGGTGGGCACTGAAATAACGAAAGTCCCCGTATATATTCACAAGGAAATGAAAGGTTAAAGGTGAAAAGGAAACACAAATCCGGATTCCAACATATTTGCTTATCGATTTGCGGATTCACCTGATACAGTCTGGGGTGGGTAGGTATTGCGACATCTCACGACAGACTAACGGACAACATCTTCCTTTTGGTCAGCGAGAACTCCAACCGCCCTTCTCCCTATCACCGATTGCAACTGTATCCATCCGATCCGTAATCCTTTAACAATCGTTTTCTTTTTGATTGCTCCCTCCTCACTCTCTTTGGATAGCTTGCAACTGACCATTTTATTGTGCAGCCTGACTATATAAGCCTATAACCGGAACCCCTGCTTTCCAGCCGAGTGGCACTTGATCCCTAAAATTTACATTTATTTGCTTGTTTCAATTCCTTTCTAGCTGCTTGTGGACATATTTTTTTATGTTTCTTTTGACAGCCATATTGGTGAGATACCTGACCAAACGTTTTATCGGAGATTATCATCCGTTATTAGGTAAGTGGAATTAATATTTATTACTTTTGTGAACATTTATATAAGCATTCATCTTTCAGACCATTGAATTACTTCATTTCTTTCTGTATAATTTGAATTCAATTTCTTTGAGTGGAATTTGCTGTAAAATGGAAATAGTTTCGGCCAATAACCAACATAACATTATCGCCATATTCTAAATCCTATGGAGAACGCCATAGTTCAGCAAGGCTCTATTTTCTCAATGTAAACAAATCAATTTCTAAAGAATTAATGTAATTAATGTAATTAATGTAATTAAACGTTATTTTAGTGGATACCAGTGTTTAAAATAGTAGCCACGTTTTTATTTTAACCAATGTGTATTAAGTCTATCGACCTTTGCACTCAATAAATCTTAACGCACGCACGCACACACACACACACACACACACACACACACACACACACACACACACACACACACAGGAACACACACAGACACACACACACACAGACACACACACACACATATAATTCAACATTTCTTGGGGCTTACAATTTATCTAATCTTGATTTTTAAGGGAATGGTTCCAAGTGCTCTTACTATGACTGGCACGACTCCAATGACAACTCCCATGCCAAGGATTTGTATTTATTCCGATCTATCTCATTTAGTTATTTTCATGCAATTGTTTACTGGTGTTGGAGTCGGATAAATGCAAATTATACTTTAAAACAAAATGTAAAATATTCTTGAAAATAAGTAACATTCTGTTCTGTATATATATATATATATATATATATATATATATATATATATATATATATATATATATATATATATATATAATATAGGATATATATGTGCAGATATATATAAAAAATAGGAAAAAGAACAAGTTAGGTAAATAATCCGGAGTTCTTTAGTATTTTTGTTTTTATTTAAAAAAAAACAAACAGTGCTCCATACAGAAGTAGAGTTTAAATTATAATTATTTTTTAAAAATATGATTCCTTCGCTACATAACAGTACTCATGTTTCAAAAACAAGAGCCGAAAACCTCAATATAATTATTAAAAGTAGAGTTAAAGTATCAAGTCCTGTTTCATCCTCAAGCGAAAATTTAAGAATAACCAATCTTGAAATTTTATAAGCATGTTCATTCGCAAAATTAATTACTATGGAAACGGCTGGGGCGACCATTTTGATAAGGGGTCTAAAAGAGGTCAAGCCTAGGTAGGATCCGGGTGTCCATTTCAAAGCTAATGATGGCATTCATGTACGCACATCGTCTGGTCAGTCACAGCGAAAGATAGCTTTTGGCGACATAATATGTCGTTAAGTGTCTAGAGAATTTTGTTTTGTTTTATTTTATTTTATTTTATTTCTAAAGGATTGTTCCGTCCTTGTTGACAAGTTCTTGTTGTATTTATTATTTTCCATTTTACTTTTGGTGTTTTACTCATTTCTTTTAAATGCCAAAAATATTTGCATAGAGATGTCTGATATATGATAATATATAATATATATATAATATCATGTATATAATATATGATATATATATATATATATATATTTAATATATAATATATATAATATATAATATACATAATATATAATATATATAATATATCATATATATATATATAATGTAAATAAAATATATATATAATATATATATATATATATTATATAGTATATATAATATATATAATATATATATGTAATATATTATATATATAATATATAATAATATGTATATATATAACATATAATATATATATATATATATATATATATATATATGTGTATATGTGTGTGTGTGTGTGTGTGTGTGTGTGTGTGTGTGTAAATTTTAAACTCTCCTATATTAAAAAAAAACTATTACTTAGCTATCTTCTTGGTGTACAGAGAATTTAAAACCACTGCTTCCTTTTTGCAATCATAATTTCAATTTATTCATTTTTTACAGTAAGCGTCACCCTAATCTTAGACTACTCTTTGTAAATCCATCTTACAAGACTATTCGTTGTAAATCCATCTTATAAAACTAATCTTTGTAAATCCATCTTATAAGACTAATCGTTGTAAATCCATATTATGAGACTATCGTTGTAAATCCATGTTATGAGCCTAATTGTTGAGTGATACATCGTATAAGACTAATCGTTGAGTGATCCAACGTATAAGACTAATTGTTGAGTGATCCATCGTATAAGACTAATTGTTGTGTGATCCATCGTATAAGGCTAATTGTTGAGTGATCCATCGTATAAGACTAATTGTTGAGTGATCCATCGTATAAGACTAATTGTTGTGTGATCCATCGTATAAGGCTAATTGTTGAGTGATCCATCGTATAAGACTAATTGTTGAGTGATCCATCGTATAAGACTAATTGTTGTGTGATCCATCGTATAAAACTAATTGTTGAGTGATCCATCGTATAAGACTAATTGTTGTGTGATTCATCTTATGACACTAAGCGTATTAAATCCATATTATAAGACTAATATTTGTAATTCCATCTTATAAGACTAAGTGTTGTAAATTCGGTACTAAAAATATTTAGGGTGATCACTAATCATGAATTGTTTTTGCGTTTAGATATCGACAGCTGATCATATTGTAAAGTTCTATGATTTTCACAGCAAAATTATTTTTTCCTGATGTTATAATTCCATTGCATTTAGCTAAAATTACTTTTTTGGGCCAAAGAACGAGACTGGCATCGACTAGAATATCCTGAGAACGTTTTAAAAAATTCCTCAGTGATGCCTAAAGTACTCCGACATAATACATGGAGATATATTTGAGCGGTTATGATTAATTCTAATACTGACTCGCTTGAAAAGCATAAATCTTCACGTCCTAAGTTTTACTTCAGTAATACGAATATTTGCAGCTAGAGAAAAACATTACTAAGTTTAAGAGGAGGAGGCTAAAAGGAAAAAAAGCGGTTCAAGATGAAAACGGAACTAAATTGGTGGGATCCGGCCAAGTCAATGTTATCTGTTGATTTCAAACGAAGAAGTGAGGTACCATAATCAAGCCAGATGTTATGGCTTTTTGTGAAGAGGAAAAGAAAGAAAGAAAACGGGAAGGCAAAGTAAAACGAGAGAAACAAAATAAGAAAGAAAGAGAAAAAAGATGAAAAGACAAAAAAAAAGAAACAAGGGAAAGAGAAGGAAAACAATGAAAAAAAAACGAAAAAGAAAACTGTAAAAGAAAAAGAAAAAATGAAGAAGCAAAAGACAAAAGAAAGGAATGAGTAAAAAAAAGAAGGAAAGGAAAATATTGTAAGGTTGTGTGAAGAAAGAAGAAAGAAAGGAAGGAAAAAAATGAAATAAAAAGACATGGAATTATGGAAAAAGTAAGAAAAGAAATAAAAAGAAAGAAAGAACAAGAAAAAGTCAGAGAAGGAAAGAAACGAAAAAAAAAAAGAATAAAACAGAAAGAAAATAAATTAGAAAAAATGAGGAAAGAAAAAAGAAGACGAAAGAAGAAAATAAAAAAACGCAATTAACAAGTAAAAGAAAAACAGAAATAAGAAAAGAAGGAAAGGAAAATAGTGTAGGATTGGACTGTAGGAAGAAAAAAGAAAGAAAAATATAATGAAGCATTAGAGAATGAAAGGAAAGGAAAGAAAAGAAAGGAAAAGAGAAGGAAGGAAGGAAGGAAGGAAGAGAGGAAGGAAAGAAGGAAGGAAGGAAGGAAGGAAGAAAGAAAGAAAGAAAGGAAGGAAGGAAGGAAGAAAGGGAGGAAGGAAGAAGGATGAAAGAAAGGAAGAAGAATGAAAGGAAGAAAGGAAGATTGAAAGGAAGGAAGGAAGAAAGGAAGGAAGAAAGGAAGAAAAAGAAAGAAAGAAAGGAAGGAAAGAAGGAAGGAAGGAAGAAGGAAGGAAGGAAGGAAGGAAGGAAGGAAGGAAAGAAGGAAGGAAGGGAGGAAGGAAGGAAGGAAGGAAGGAAGGAAGGATGAAAGAAAGAAAGAAAGAAAGAAAGAAAGAAAGAAAGGTAGAAAGGAAGGAAGGAAGGTTGGAAGGAAGGAAGGTAGAAAAGAAGGAAGGAAGGAAGGAAGAAAGAAAGAAGGAAAGAAAGAAAGGAAGGAAGGAAGAAAGAAAAGAAGGAAGGAAGGAAGAAGGATGAAAGGAAGGAAGGAAGGTTGGAAGGAAGGAAGGAAGGAAGAAAGGAAAAAAGGAAGGAAGGAAGGAAAAAGAAAGAAAGGAAGGAACAAAGAAAAGAAAGAAAGAAAGAAAGAAAGAAAGAAAGAAAGAAAGAAAGAAAGGAAGGAAGAACGATGAAAGGAAGAAAGAAATTTGAAAGGAAGGAAGAAAAGAAGAAAAAGAAAGAAAGGAAGGAAGGAAGAAAGGATGAAAAAGAAAGAAAGGAAGGAAGGAAGGAAGGAAGGAAGGAAGGAAGGAAGGAAGGATGAAAGAAAGAAAGAAAGAAAGAAAGAAAGAAAGAAAGAAAGTTTAGGAAGGAAGAAAGGGCGGAAGGAAGGAAGGAAAGAAAGAAAGAAAGAAAGAAAGGAAAGAAGGAAGGAAGAAAGAAGGATGAAAGGAAGGAAGGAAGAAAGGAAGGAAGGAAGAAGGATGAAAGGAAGAAAGGAAGGTTGGGAGGAAGGAAGAAAGGAAGAAGAAAGAAAGAAAAAAAGAAAGAAAGAAAGGAAGGAAGGAAGAAATATAAGGAAAAAAAATGATATTTTCAGGAACATTTTAATCGAAAATATTTATCCTTTTTTCCGTGCTTCCATATCAGAAGATTTCACGGGTAAAAGTTTGTTTTTTAGAAAAGTCTCTCTTCCAATCGCACTCGCTTCAAATAAGCTCCAGCTGCTTTGTTCGGAATTTAAATAATTTCAATTTAACTAAATTTAAATCATTCGCTATGAATATTGCAGTTTGAAGTTTAATGCTTTCTTTTTTTTTATACTGACATCAGTTTTCATTTCTGTGAATACGATTTCGTCAAAATATGACTTTTCATCAATTGAAACGAGATTTCTCAAAGGACAATCGAAAATAAAAGCACTGGCATTTCTTTGAATTTTGTTAAGACTTAAAATGTTTATTTATTTGATTAAAAAATAACGTCGTGATTTAAGAAATAAATATAAAATTATTGAGTATATGATAGTTGAATCTGAAACTCATATTCTCGGATGGCTCTCCAAAAATCATCTGTATGTATATAATAGTCTAATTCATTTGGGAATGTAGAATTTTCTGGTAACTATAGACTCTGAAATATCGTGATATCAAGCAACAGAATGAATATGGTAAAAAGAATTGTGATGAAAGAAAAAAATAATTTTGAATATTTTGAAAGAGACAAGGAAGTAGAAAACCAGTATTGCCATTAAAATTTAATGAGAAGAGAGAAAAATAAGCTAAAAAGCATTTAAAAAAGAAAGGGAAGGAAAGAAAGAACAAAAAGAAAGAGAGGAATAAAAAAAGAAAGGAAGAGAGAAGGAAAGAAAGAATAAAAAGAAAGAGAGGAATAAAAAAGAGAAAAGAAAAAGGGAAGGAAAGAAAGAATAAAAAGAAAGACGGGAATAAAAAAAAAGAAAGAAAGAAGGAAGGAAAGAAAAAACAAAAAAAGAAGGAAGAAAAAAGAAAAGAAGAGGGAAGGAAGAAAAAAAGAATAAAAAGAAAGACAGGGATAAAAAAAGAAAGTAAAATGGAAGAATGAACAAAAAAGACAGGAATAAAAAAAGAAAGAAAGAAAGAGGAAAGAAAGAACAAAAAGAAAGAAGGAATAAAAAAAGAAAGGAAAAGGAAAGGAAAGAAAGAATAAAAAGAAAGACAGGAATAAAAAAAAAAGAATGGAAGAACAATAAGAAGAAAAAAGAAAAAGAAAGCCAGAAAAAGGAAGTGAATAATTAAAAAAAAGAAACAGGAATGTTTAAACGGATACTCAAGGGTGCTCCTCTGCTTTAGCCTTGTATCTGACTTAGCTAAGCAAATTAAGTAACGATTAGATAAATATTACGTTTTTGTATAATACAGATTCTTAAAATGAAGGTATTTTTAAAGTTTTAACCAAGTGTGGCTCAAGGTTATAATAGCTGAGCATTTAATAACAACTCACTCGCTCTAGTACCATTATTGCTCTCCAACAGACATCCTCTTGAGTCATTAACTTATTTTCCTCAGCAGATAATGATGTCATACTCAACAGACGGCTCTTCCTACGATGTAAATCAAAGAGAAAGCCGTTTTCTTATTTACAAATCTAATAAAACTGAATTTCCGCAGCAAACAGAGTTTACAAACTAAATGTTTCCCAACCCACCCTCCGCTGACATTTCCTCGTAATAGTGTAGACATCCGGCCATCCACTGAGACATCAGAGACGAACCACCAAATGCAATTTTATACAAAACAGCCAAGAATGAAGAACAACAAAAAATCTATGGCTTGCTGGGAGGACGAAGCCTTAATGAATATGCGTTTGATGCGAGCGTTCAAGTTGACTTCAAGGTCAAGCTGTAAAAGGTGATTTTCAAGGCTTGCATAATAAGAACGGAAAATATATATATATATATATATATATAAATATAAATATATATATATATATATAAACACACACACACATATATATATATATATATATATATATATATATATATATATATATATATATATATAATCGGAATCAATAAGTTCGTAGCCGTGACACGTATTTATTAGCCTGGTTATGATCTGAAAACTTCGAATTATGTAATTATCTACTGTATTAAGTGCAATTACAAAGTGATGTTAGAAAATGAATACTTGAGGTGAGGTGTAAAATAAACATTTTTTTCATCATAAGCAAACAGATTTATTGATGCACCTGCGTATATATTTATGTTCAGTGGAGGGGGGGAGTTAAAAACTAATATTTCAATGACAAAACTTCAGAATATTGTCCGTGTGAATTTATAGGATGATGTGTTATTATTTACCTAATTTCCTCATCTTTGTTGTTGTTACCATAACATTTCGATCGTTGCGCTCTCCGTACTTCCTCAGGTGGATGTCGAACCAGGTAATTAATTTCAACTTCTCGTTTACACTGACCGGCCGTGATGAGAATTAGGTTACTCGATTTCGAATTCCAATTGAGTACGTTGCATACACTTACAAGCAAATGTCACTGGGAAAGGTACGGATCCATCTCCATCCCCAATTATGGGTTAAATAGTAGGACTTCTATCTGCAAAAATCATTGTTATTCTCAAAAAGATTGTTAATGCAATATTCAATCGTAAAAATTATTCTTACAATCCAAAATATAGTCCGGCTCTAAACAACTCACAAAGGGTTGATAAGCCGTAAAAATGAAAATGATTAGGGATATCTTGTTTTGTTCTTTTATTAGTACAGCTCAGTTATTTCTTGTTTCGTACCAGAAGTGATTTTGGTCGGACCGAAAATATTTCAGCTCCATTCACATATATATATATATATATATATATATATATATATATATATATGAATAAAGACAAAAAGAAAACTTATCTTAGATGACGCATTTCGTCCTCTGAGGGACATTATCAAGGCAAATGTAAGGATTTTATTTTGAAAACCAATAACATTTTTGCTCTTGTATGTTCTTTTGATCTTGTCATAAAATAAAATCCTTGATAAATTTCCTCAGAGTACGAAATGCGTCGGCTAAAATAAATTTTCCTTTGTCTTTATTAAGTTTTCCTTTTACTCTAGTTGAAACGGTTCCATAATGGATAGCGGCTCGGATAGAGGAATCGGAGAGCCGGCTTCGAATTCTAGTCGTAATCCATTCCATTCACTTACGTGCTAATACGCTTGGGAAAGGTATAGATCCTCTTCTTCCCTCAGCTATGGGTAAATAGCAGAAGCGGCTTCTATAGCCTTGGATGGCAACTGGTCTAGGAGAAGGACAACTGCGGAGGGTCGTTTGGGGACCTTGTGGCACGTAGTGCACCAGGTCTCTGTATTCCCTTAACTTTCCCTTAAGTTTATAAGTGGAGGAGGCCCGGTGGAGTAATGGTTGGGGAATCGGAGAGCCGAGTTCGAATTCAAGTCAAATCCATTACATTCACTTACGTGCTAATGCCATTGAGAAAGGTATGAAAGGTTCTATATTCTTGGATGGCAACTGGTCTACCGCAGAAAGAAATAGCAACTTACTGCAGGAAAAAAATCGAAAGATACATGATCGCCTATGCGAGAAAGATTCATAACTGACTGACAGACTGATATATATATATATATATATATATATATATATATATATATATATATATATATATATATTCACATGTATATGTGTGAGTGTATAAGAAATAGGTGGCCAAGTAAAAAGCTATGTATTTAAATACTGACTTTCTAGATGAGAAATCTTTAAGTAAAATCTTTAAAAATAAAACCCTCCTATTTAGCCTAACATTCAGTACATTCGTCTACTTGTAAAACCTTCAATATCGTAATGTTATAATTATTACTTTATATATTTATCATTTACTATCTCAATCACGAGCTCTCTTTCTCTCTCTTTCTCTCTCTCACTCTCTTTTTTTCTTTCTTTCTCTATTATCTCCCTCCCTCCTCTCTCTCTCACTCTCAACCTATCTATCTCTTTTATTCTAGCACATTCGCCTTTTCCTTTTTGCGAAGCATTTAATGATCCTTAGCTATTTCTAAGCTTGAGGTCGTGCTGAAAATCCTCGACCCGACTAAGAAGGGATTTAAAAATAATTTTGATATTTGGTCACTTTTCGAAATTAGCTGGAGCCGAGAACTTTTCAGCGCACCTGGAAGAAGTATAGCTATGCCTACCAAGATAAGTAGGCACAGGAATCATACTCATCAGCAGAATCATAACGATAGGTGTATATTTTGGAATTACTGCTTGCATTCTTCCCACTCTTTTCATGATTACTTACGAAAAAGAAGTAAAAAAGATATTTGCCGATGAGCGCAAATGATGCCATTGCAAAGGCATACAGAAAACCGATTTCTTCGGCACTTTCCCTTTTTTTCTAATTGAAATTTGATATCAGAATATCAGTGGCAGTGATCACAGTTGTCTAGATTGGCAAATCCTGCGTCACACCAGCGGTAGATTTAAAGTAGACCCCGTCATCAACATTTTTAACTGGGGCGAAGTCTTCAGTACCATAACTGGAGAGAAATCCTCAGGAGCACAACTGGAGAGAAATCTTCGGAACTGTAATTGGGACGAAATCATCAGAACCATACTTGGGAAGAAATACCCAGAAAATAATTGGGAAGAAATACCTAGAACAATAATTGGTTAGAAATACACAATAATTGGGGTGAAATCTTCAGAACCATAATTGGGGAGAAAATCCTCAAAACTATATTTGGGGAGAAATCCTCAAAATCGGAAATGGGGATTAAGTTCTCAGAATCATATTCAGGGAGAAATCCTCAGAATCATAATTGGGGAGAAATCTACAGGACCATAATTGGGGAGAAATCTTCAGAAGCATAATTGGGGAGAAATCCTCAGATCAACAATTGGGGAGATATCCTCAGAACCATAATTGGAGTTAAATCCTCAGAACAATAATTCGAGAGAAATCCTCACAACCATAATTTTTGGGGGGTATGTATAGACGGTCTGCATCAGCAATTGCATGATGCAAGTCACGCTTAGAAAGAAGCTTTCTTGTTTTAGAATCCATTGGTCTGATATCATTTAGAGTCCATGTCAAGATGTTGA